GTAGTTTGGAACTCAATATCTGATAGTTTACTTGCCTCTATTTCATTTAGTTCTCTTTCTGGGGATCCCTCCTTTCCCTTTGAGTGGGGGGTATTTCTTTGTCTTCCCATTATTTGCGAGACTCTTCTTTTTTTGCCTCCACTTCGTAAGTTGATCTGTCTTGATTTCCTGACTTTGTGGTGTGGACTTCTATGGTAAGAGACTGCTGTTTTTTCTTTCTGGATCTGCCTCTGATGATGTCAGATGTTGACCCTGTTTGACCTTAGGCAGGCTGTTCCAGGAGTCTACTGTCTGTGGCTGTCTCCTTCAGCTGTTAATCTAGTCACTCTGCACTCAGCAGTTAGGCTTAGACATCTCAGGGCAGGGCAGAGTCCCTCTTGGGCTTGGGGTTATTGTGTCCTCTCAGCTGCTGCTGCTCAGGGGAGTGGTCTGCCTGAGCCAGATGGCTGCTGCCCTATGGGGATGAGTCAACACCAGGATCCCACTGGCTACTCTCTCGGTTCTCTCCTCAAAGCCTCTGTCCCCAGTCTCTCCTCAGGTGTCTCTAGCCCCCGCCTTTGCCAGAGACCAAGGTAAGTGGTTGCAAATAAAAATTTATCCATTGGCCCTTTAAAAGTCTCTTTGCGTCTCCAGCCTCCTGTCTCTGGCAGAGAGCAACCCTGCCTCTTTTCACATCTGGCTGTTATCTGTGTACTTTTCGGCTCTGGTGCTGTAGGCTGGAGATCCCCGCTTATGGTTTAGACCGCGCTCTTCTCAAGGGGATCCAACTGGCCATTTCAATATCCTTCTGGTGCTGCCACCTGTGGGCGCCCCTCCCACCTTCTCAAGTCTCTAGCACACTCTTTACCAGTTAGGTTGTGCTAAAGCTGATTCTTCTATCTGTCTGAGGTTATAAAGCTCCTCTCTCGCTATTGTTCAGTTGTTTGTTCCAGGTGATTTCTCCACAATTTAATTGTAATTCCAAGTTGGTCCTGGGAGGAGGTCAGTGTGACTTCCACTCACTCCTCCACCTTCTTGATTTTCTCTCCTTAAATTTATTGAGACTTGTTTTGTGTCCTGACATGGGTCTATCTTAGGAAATGTTCTATGTGCACTTGAAAGGTATGTATATTCTGAAGCTTTGGGATGAAATGCTCTGAAGATATCAATTAAAACATTTGATCTAGTATGTCATTTAAGGCTGCTGTCTCCTTGTTGATTTTTTGTCTGGAGGATCTATCCATTGAAGTCAGTGGGTGTAAAATCCCTGACTGTGACTGTATTTCTGTCTCTCTCTTCCTTTATGTCAATCAAGATTTGCTTCACATATTTAGGTGCTCCTATGTTGTGTGCATAAATGTTTACTAGGGTTATATCCTCTTGTTGGATTGTTCCTTTTATCATATGTAGTGTCCTTCTTTGTCTCTTACTATAGCCCTGGTTTCAAACTCTATTTTGTCAGATGTAAGTATTGCTATCCCAGATTTTTTTCCCTTTCCATTTGTATGAAATATGTTTTTTCCAACTCTTTAATTTTAGTCTCTGTGTATCTTTTAGTCTGAGGTCATTTTCTTGGAGGCAGCATATATATGAGTCTTGTTTTCTTATCCATTCAGCTACCCTGTGTCTTTTGCTTAGAACATTAAACCATTTACATTTAAGGTGATTATTGATAGATACATATGTAGTGCCATTTCATTGTTAGACTGTTTTCTCTCTCTCTCTCTCTCTCTTTCTCCTCCTCCTCCTCCTCCTCCTCCTCCTCCTCCTCCTCCTTCTTCTCCTTCTCCTTCTCCTTCTCCTTCTCCTTCTCCTTCTCCTTCTTCTTCTTCTTCTTCTTCTTCTTCTTCTTCTTCTTCTTCTTCTTCTTCTTCTTCTTCTACTTCTCCTTCTAGCAAGCCCTTTAATATTTGTTGCAGTACTGGTTTGGTGTTAACAAACTCCTTTAACTTTTTCTTGTTTGGGAAGCTCCTTATTTCTCCTTTGATTTTAAAGAGAAGCCTTGCTGAGTAAAGTAGCCTTGGTTGTAGGTCCTTCCTTTTCATTATCTTGAATATTTCACACTACTCCCTTCTGGCATGAAATGTTTCTATTGAGAAATCAGATGACAGTTTAATTGGTGCTCCCTTGTAGGTAACTACCTGCCTTTCTCTTGTGGCTTTTAGGATTTTCTCCTTGTCTTTAAGCCTTGTCATTTTAATTATAATGTGTCTAAGACCTCTCAGGGAGTCCCAAACAAGTTAGACACAAATTTGGGTCCAACTTGTTTGGGACTCCCTGAGCTTCCTGGACTTGTGAGTCTTTTTCCTTCACCAGATTAAAGAAGTTTTTGGTCATTATTTCTTCAAATAGGTTGTCAATCCTTGCTTGCTCTCTTCTCGTTCCAGTATTCCCATGATGTGGATGTTGTTATGCTCTATTTTGTCCAAAATGTTTCTTAAGCTCTCCTCATTTTTTAAAAAAATTCTTTTTTTTCTTTTTGCTGCTCTCACTGGGTATTTTGTCTACCTTTTCTCCCAAAACACTGAATCAGTCCTTTGCTTCATCGAACCTACTGTTTATTCCTTACAGTGTATTATTTATTTCAGATATTGTGTTCTTTATTTCTGACTGGTCCTTTTTTATGGTTTCTATGGCTTTTTTCATGCTATTGAGTATCCTTATAATCATTGCTCTAATCTATCTGATAAATTGCTTGTTTCTGTTTAATCTATTTCTTCTTCTGGAGAATATTCTTGCTCTTTCATTTCATGTCTGTTTGTCTTCCCATTTTGGCTGTTTCTTTGTGTTTGTTTCTATGTAATAAGTAGATCTGCCAGATTCTGGTGCACATATAAGTCAAACTCTGCCTGTGACTGGCCCTGGGCAACCTGTTTGGAGCTATCAGCAATTCACAGCATGTGGCTCCGTCTGCTGTGTCTGAGTGAGTGCAGAAAGGACCAAGCTGCACACCAAGGCCAGATTTTACCAGCAGCAGGCCCAGGGGCATGTCATCTGAAGCCTCAGAGATCCCTGCCATCTGCCTCTGCCTGCAGGCTTTCTGTAGGGTTAATCAGTGAATTTCTCCAGCTGTACTCAGTAGCAGGGCTTAAGCATCACAGGGTGAAGCCACTTGGAGGTGATTGCTCTGCCTGAGAAAGATGGCCTCTGCAATATGGGAAAGGACTCAGCACAGGGATCCTGGAGGCTGTTCCTTCAGCCCTCTTCCCAGCACCACTGATCCTGGACTATCCTGAAGTATCTCTAGTCTCCTCACATGTCTATAGTCCACCTTGCCCTCCCTCTGAAGGAGCCCAGCATAGGTGGCTGCAAACAGAATTTTGTGCATTGTCTCTTTAAGAGGTGCTCTGAGTCTTCATCCATCTTTCCCTGGCAGACAGAAACCCAACTGCTTTTCACAGCCATGAGTTATTTGGGTTCCTTTCCTGGTTCTGGTGATGTAGGCTGTGGTGACTAGCTTGGGGTTTAGACTCCACTCTTCTCAGGGGCAATCCCCCAGTGGCTGAAATATCCCTGCAGGACTTCAGCTGCTGCCAGTAGGCTTCTAGCCACCCATCTCATGACTCCTCTGCACTCCCTACCAGTCACGTTGTGGTGATGTGACTTCTTCCTTCTGTCTGTGGTTATAAGGCTTCTTTCCAACTAGTGTTCAGTTGGTTATTCAGGATGATTTCTCTATAATTTAGTTGTAATTTTAGATTGGCCCTGGGAGAAGGTTAGTGTAACTTCCACTTACTCCTCTGCCATCTTGGGTCCCCTTCTGTTAAGCATTTTAAGAGTTTGTATTCTGCCATTGTTGCATGAGCTTATATTCACACATGTTTGTTAGTCCTATTATTCAAATCTTCTATATCCTTATTGACTTTCTTTTGTCTCCTTTTTCTCTTTCTGAACAAAATATATTGAAATTTCCCATCCTGGTTATGAACTTCTCAATTTTTCGAGAGCTCAGATGTTTTTGTTTTATGTAACTCAAGATGGTATTATTGCACTGAAATTTATCATTGATTTACCTTTCTGGTAAATTGACCCTTTTATAATGTCAATTATAAATAGATAATGTCCCATTTATATCCATAAGTTTTCTTATCTTAAGGTCTACTATAAATGATATTTGTATAGCTAGTCACACAATTTCTTTCTGATAAATGTTTTCATGGTATCTCTTTCCATCCTTTGACTTTAAAGCTCTATTTATCCTTTTAATAAAGGTGTGTCAAATAAATGAGATATAGTTGTTTAATTCCTAACCAATCAGACCATGTTTGTTAATGGAAGGATTTATTCTTTTTACATTTAATGTAACTAGAAATATACTTGGATTTAAATCTGTCATCTTTCTATTTTTTAATTCCATCTGTTCTAATCTGCCAATTTTCCATTTACCTTCTTTTAGATTAATTAAGTATATTTTTTATCCTGTTGTCTCTTCACTATTAATGTATTTGCTATGCATCCTTTTAATATTTTAAGTGGGTTACCCTAGAAGAAAAAACATGCATTCTAACATGTTATATTAAAGTCTAACTTAAATTTTTACTTTTACCATTTTCAGGACAATGAAATGGTCTTAAAACCTTTTAATTCTATTTACCTCTCTCCATATTTTTGTTATTGTTTTCATATATTTCAGATCTTTTTATATTTTAAATTATATGTATTTTCATTGTTTTATTTAGTATATATATTACCTCTTCTTCTTCCTTCTCTCTTTCTTCCTTCTCTTCCTCCTCTTCCTCCCCTCCCCTCTTCCTTCTTTCACTCTCTCCCTTCCTCTCTAATTTCTATGCTTCTAGCTAGAAATAGTTTTCATACACTTAAAGAAATTTCCTACTATTTCCCTTACTGCAGATCTGCTTAGCATGCATTTCCTCAGTTTAGGTTCATTTGAAAATATTTTTATTTACCTTCCTTTATGAAGAATATTTTTGCTAGGTGTAAAATTCTAGGTTTGCAGATGTTTTCTTTAAGTCCTTTGAAGATATCATTTTATTGTTTTCTGGCTTCTATTTTTCTTTTTACCTCGTTTGAAATGAATCCACATGCAATAAAGCAGACTACAATCACAGTATTACTTTCCCTCCTTTTAAAACCATCCAGACTTGTGTTTAGATCTGATGGAAAAGGGAACTGGAGGGTGCCATTTTTTTCATTCAGAGCTTAGCTGTCAGTCTTACTGCTGCTCATTTAAAGGGAATATTCTTTTATTTTCTGGTGGTCAAAAGATGGTTCATTGAAATAACTAATAAAATCAACAAATCTATGGCAAAATGAATACCCAAAACAAGAGAAAAAAATTCCAATATGAGGAATATAAAAAGAAATATCACGGTTACCTAAAGCATTAAAATAATAAGAAATATGAACAATGTCAAGCCCATACTTTATAAAATTTAGATTAAATGAACAAATTTATTGGAAAACACTATTAACCAAATGGATATGACTAGAAAGACATTTATATTTCTATAACTATTATAGATATAAAAATATTTTCATGAAGAGAGTTGTAGCCCTACCTGTCTTAATTCTTAATTCTTCTACATGTTTATGGGACAAATACTAATTTACACACTTTTCAAATAATTGAAAAAGAGGAAATAGTTCTTGACTTACTATATGAAACCAATATAGCCTTAATAACAAAACCTGCTAAAAAAAATTACAAGCCAATTTCTATCATAAACGTAGATTTTTAAAATTCTAAATAAAATGTTAGGAAACTAAATTCAGTAATTTAAAGAAGAATAGTACATCACAACCAACTGGGTTTATTTTAAGAATGCAAAAGTGGTTTATTATTAATTAATCAACTAATATAATACATACTTTGAATAAAAAAGGACAAAAATTACATCACCTCAATAGTAGAAAAATATATGATAAATTTAACACTCATTTATGATTTAAGAAGCTCTTAGTAAGTTAGAAAGGGAAGGAAACTTCATTAACTTAAAAAAGTCTCTCTGAAAAAAATCAAATAACATATTCATATTAAATATTGAAAACTTTCTTAGAGCAGAAATAATACAAGACTACCCTTATCATCATTTGAACTCAATAACACCAAAAAACCATTAAAGAAGAAAACTACATGATAAGAAAGTAAATAGACCAATAAAACTAATATTATGTGGAGATTACATGACAGTACATGTACAAAATATAAAATAATATAAAATGTGAGATTTAAAAATTAATTTTGCAAGGACACTTGATTCGAAGTTAATATTAAAATCAGTTTTACATCTTATGCCTGTAACAAAAACAAAATATAAAATGAAAAATTTTAAATAGCATCAAAATATCAAATACCTAATAAAAATTGTGCATTATCTCTACACACACACTCATGCAAACACAAATAAACATTGAAAGGAAATAAATAAAATAAATTGAAGAATATACCATGTTAATGTAAGAGATGTTTATAGACATTTATCTTTATGTCAGTAAATCCCACATTTTTTACAGACATTAAAAAATGAAATAAAATATGTCAAAATGCCCTATATTTTCTACATACATATTGTAATACCAATTAAAATTAGAGTTTTTTGCTAGAAGTTGACAAACTGATTCTACCATATATAGAAATGCAAAGGGCCAAAAATAGCTACATTAATCTTGAAGCAGAACAAGGTAGAAGAATTTACACAATTGTATATCAATACGTATTAAAAACTACCTTATTTAACACAGAATAATATTGGCATAAGAATAGATAAATACGCCAATGAAACAGAATAGAGAATTGAGAAAGAGAGATCTGGTTTATGACAAAGGTAGCACTGCAGAATAGGGAGAAAAAGATGGTCTCCCCTACCCCCCTTTTTAAAAAAAATTATTGATTTTGGAGAGAGGGGAAAGGAGGTGGGAAGGAAAACACAGAGAGAGAAACATCGATTCGTTGTTCCACTTACTTATGCATTCATTGGTCAACTCTTATATGTGCTCTGACCAGGGATCTAACCCACAATCCTGGGGTATGGGAACGATGCTCTAACCCACTGAGCTACCCGCCAGGGCTGAATAAGATGGTCTTTTTATTAAATGGTGCTGTGCATGTAGAAAAGCCACCTGGATTTACACATGGAAAAAGTGAATCTCATCTCCTACATTATACCATACTTTTAAAAAAATCAGTGTCAGGTGGGTTTGAGAATCTAAATGTGAAAGTTAAAACAAGAAATCTGCTGGAAGTATGGCAATAAATAATCAGATATGGCTATTTTGACTTAAGCTTAAATTAATTAAAATTCAGTTCCATAGTTTCAGCTAGCCACATTTTAAGTGCTTAGTAGCCATATGTCCTACATATGCAGATACAGAAAATTTCCAACATATAAAAAAGTTCAGTACTAGAGAGCAATGTTCTAGAAGATAACATAGGAGCATTGCTTCATGACCTTGAAGTAGGCTACATTTTCTTTGAAAGGATAGAAAGAGTACTAAGTAAAAAAGAAAATACTGATAAAGTTGATCTCATTAAAATTAGAAGTTTCTGTTAATCAGATATAATTAAGAAACAAAGAATAATATCTATATACTACTATGGAGTGATCATCAGTTTATATTTCTAAGTGAAAAATCAAAGTGGAGGAGAATGAGTATTGTATGTTAAAGTATCTTAAAAACAGAAGATAATAGAGAGACACATACATATTTCCTTATATTTTATATATACACTTACATAAAAAAAATAAATAGTGAAAGGATAAATCATAAAATATGACTACCTATTAGAGAAGAGAAGGACTGGAGTAGAGGAGCAGGAATAGTAGATGCTAGACTTCCCTAAATATACCTACTTTTATAAATTTATTTGGAACAATGTAAACATTTCACATCACTATTAAAATTAAATTTTATAAAGCAAACTCTAACTTTGAAAGAAACTTGGAACAAATGAACCTAACTCTATGCATAGTGTGTGGCTTAACTATGCAGAGATGAACTATTCCAAGATACTTTAAAATAAAATAATTTGTATCATGAGTTCCTAGTGATATATATCCTACAAATGAAAAGCATTTCTCAAGCTGCTGGGAAATTTGCTTTTCATTTGGTAAAAGCAAATGAAAAGCAAATATACAAGAAAGAGAAGCCCAAAGCCAAAAGTTAGTCCTTGAAAAGGCTAATATAATTAATAAACTACTTCTTCCAAATCTAGTTAAGAAAAATGAGAAATGACAATAACTAACATCAGAATTGAAAAAAGGAAATATCACTGCAGGTTCTCAGATGTTAAAAAAAATCATTTCTTCTTGTTACAGAAAGAAATTAAAGAAATAAATGCTGAGAGTTTATGCGTTGTTTTGATACCTAAAATATTACCTTTTTGTGCACCAATTTTCTCCCTTAAAATTAATTGCATTTTAATTTGCATTCACTACAAATTTCATATGTAATATCATACATTCCTATTAATCACTTCATTATCTACAGAGAACTGGACTCATATTTAGCCACAGAATGCAGCATTGAGTTTTTTAATGTTAGCTTTAGGACCAGAAAATTGCTGTTATGTTTTTTCATTATTGTACATCTTAAGGAAAAAAAATAATCATTGAAATAATATGATAGAAAATGCCCTTTAAATATATACATATATAAAGTAGAAAAGTAAGTTAAAGGTTTTCCCTCTATGTTAGCAGTGTTAATGCCCAATTCACACACTCACAAATTTATTTATCCATTCAGTCAGTGTTTACTAATCATATTGTATATACTGGATTGTTGTATTATGTGATAATATTAAATATGCAAAATTATAATGATATAAATCTATTTTTGCAGTTTTTCCTTTTTTACCTGGATTAGTAAAACAAGAAATCTTCGATTCCCTTTCCTAATTTCTACACACCTCCTTCCCTTCTGTCCATGATCTCTGTGAGAAGTCAGAAAATAATATAGTAAAATTGCTATCTCAATTGCTTGCATTACATTTAAAGTTTTGAAATGCCAAGGACTACTAAAATAAATAAACTGAAGTATTTATTTTTAATATATTTGTATTGATTATGCTATTACAGTTGTCCCAATTTTTCTCCCTTTGCCCCCTCCATGTGGTACCCCTCCCCAATTCCGTCCAGCAATCCTCTGCTTAGTTCATGTTCATGGGTCACACATATAAGTTCTTTGGCTGCTCCATTTACTATACTGTTCTTAACATCCCCTTGTCTATTCTGTACCTACCAATTTGTACTTCTTAATCCGTGCACCTATTCCCCTTCCCCCCCTTTACCCCCCAACTGATAACCATCTGAATGTTTCTATATCTATGATTCTGTTTCTATTCTGCTTGTTTGCTTAATTTGCTTTTTTAGCTTTAGTTGTTGGTAATTGTGAATTTATTACCACTTTAATGTTCAGTTCTTATCTTCTTTTTCTCAAATAAGTCCCTTTAACATTTAATATAATAATGGCTTGGTGATAATAAACTCTTTTAGATTTACCTTGTCAGGGAAGCACTTTATCTATCCTTCCATTCTAAATGATAGCTTTGCTGGATAGAGTAATATAGGCTGTAGGTCATAACTTTTCATTACTTTGAATACTTCTTGCCAGTCCCTTCTTGCCTGCAAAGTTTCTTTTGAGAAATCAGCTGACAGTCTTATGGGAACTCCTTTGTAAATAACTATCTGCTTTCCTCTTGCTGCTTTTAAGATTTTCTCTTTATCTTTAACCTTTGGCATTTTAATTATGATGTGTCTTGGTGTGGTCCTGTTTGTGTCCAGCTATTTGGGACTCTCTGTGCTTCCGGGACTTGTATGTCTATTTCCTTCACTAAATTAGGGAAGTTTTATTTCATTATTTTTTCAAATAAGTTTTTAATTTCTTGCCTTTTCTTCTTCTGGCACCCATATGATTGAATGTTGGTATGTCCGAATATGTTCCAGAGGCTCCTTAGCCTATCCTCATGTTTTTGTATTCTTTTTTCTTCTTGCTGTTCTGATTGAATGTTTTTTTCTTACTTATATTCTAAATCATTGGTTTGATTCTCAGCTTCATCCACTCCACTGTTAGTTCCCTGTAATTTTTTTTTTATTTCATTTAGTGTAACCTTCATTTCTGCCTGGGTATTTTTTATGCTCTTGAAGTACCCAATGAGTTCTTGAGCATCCTAAAAAACAGTG